ACATCCATTTAGCTTTTTATTAGGTTTTAACGAAAATACGATAATTTTAAGTTGTCGAAAATTGCAACTATTTAATCATAAATAACTACCGTTTCAGCTGTTTAATCAAAAAATGGATATGTCATGCCCTAGATAATATTGTAATCTTTATTTTTGAAAATTTGGTGTTTTTAACTGTACCCAGCCCGTGCGTGCATGCGACGCGACCGAATCCGCTGATTGTGGCAATAGTGGGAGAAATACTCGTCGACGTCGCCGCCGTTCGTAGGCAGCAGCACCTTACGAATGAAAAATAAAATTTGATAACAAAAAAACATATTTACGAAAAATGGCCAAAACAGAGGTCTAGAGTGATTTTAGAGAAAAAGGGCTGGGTACAGTTATCCCAATCGTGATAAGGAATATGTTTTGTTACCAACGTCAAATATTAAAAAAAATTCCGAATGGGAACTTAATTGGGCTCATGGTGAGATACTGTACGAAACGTAGTCCGTCCTATAAATTATATAAATAGCTAATAGGTACTTTTAAATTATAATATAAATAATATTTATAATAATATTAGAATATTATATTAATATCATTATTCATTATCACGGTATGGGAAGGGGTCGGTAATGGGGGTAAATCAATAAGACTATAACGGACCAAACCCTAAGCAAAGGCAGGGAGGTTGACCTCGTTATGTTTTTTAACTAAATATAAATATAGGGTTCAATTTTAAGAATGATAAAGAACAGCTCTCAGAAATAATGTAAAACAAGTATAATAATTGCACGCAAAATACGTAACACACAATAGTAACAAATAAATCAAGGTAATCTATATAAATTTTTAAGTAATAAGCGACGCTCGGCGCTATGATAGCCTACTGACAGTGACTTAACATACACAATAGTTACTAACAATATGCACAATGGCAAACAATAAATAATAGATAACAATTTAACATGAATAACAAATTGACATATTCCCTACTCACATGACCCAAGGAATTGTGCGGTTGATCCCAGATCAGTTGTAGAATTGTAAATCCAAAATGTCCCTCGACTGTTGGCACTCGGGAAATCCTCCGGTGTGTGGTGTTGTCGCACGTTGCACGACGGGAATCACCACTATTTGTCAAGCCGTTGGCTATAGACTATCACTGTGGTGTTTCACGTAACATTATATTGTACGAGCAGGTACCCACGCAACGACGTCGTCGTAGACGTACCATAAGACACTATTGTGTCGTGGTGTTGAACAGCGCACAATCACCAGTTTTACGGGAAGGGGGTTACGTAATGCCGTTGAACTGATTGTACTCTTTGTACCCAACAAAGACCGTGATTTGATATAAATCAGTTAATCAGATGACCAAAATAACCAAATATATTTTCAATGTGGCGATAACGAGTTATTTGAGTTGTTTTAAATTTAAACATTTTGAACACTTGAACTTTTAACCTGCAGTATACACAATTTACATTTGACATTCACAATATAATGTTTGTGACTGAATAATTGGTTAGTGTAGTGACTACACAGTACACAGCGACTATATGGAAACTTTTTATAATGCACGGTCGATACAAACCAGGTAATTTATTTATAATATAATAATATGTTAACAATATTACAATAAATAAAGACTTAGATAATTGTTTTGATCTTAGGTAAAATGTTACAAACTTAGGTTAAGCATTTCTAAGTATGTTTTTTTTCACGTATTATTGAATTAAATTTGGTTACTATTTGAATATTTTATTATCCAAATATATAATATCATATAGTATTTTCATATTATGTATACTTACTAATTTTATTACATAATTTTAAATAAGACATTTTTATTTGGTATTTAATAAATTATTATAATATTATAAATCAATTATGACAAATAACAATCTGAAATCTTTTTCTTCATTTCAAGATTTCCAGTTAAAACATAATATAATAGCAGGTATATTATAAAATTTAAATCACACTTTTATACACAATACACATATCATTGTAGAATCATTACATTCATCGTTCTGCTTAGAATCTAAAATTGTTAATCTATCAAAAGGAAATAGTTATTCAAGCAATAAATATAAATAAATAATAAAACACAATTACAAAAAATCATATAGGTATAAAAAAGTTTGTGATTATCACATACTGTCACAAAATATTAAGTATATTCATATACCTAGGTAGTCTATATAAAAAACATTTGTTTGTGCCACAAACAAACCGTCTTTCAAGCATGCGATTTATAGTTAAATGTTGTAATCCTGTAAAAATATTAACAGAAAAAATAACTACAAACTATTTTATATCTTCACTTGTCAAATATTATCAAAATTTACAGTTAAATATCTTATAGGAAATGGACCAATCTGTCCTTGAACATATCCATCATTATGATGGCCTGCCCTCCTGGGGAACATTAGTATATCCCCATCAACATTCAACGTCTGTATTTGTTTTAAATGGCCAATCATTATAATTTTTTCTGTGGCAAACTAAATATCTTTAAGAACATAAAAGATAGAGGTGGCTATTTCAGTTGTAGTATTAGTAATAATTAATTTTATTTTTCTAATCATAATCTTCCTCAGGTATATAGACTTACAAATGGTTTCTTACAGAACTTGTTTTATAGTACTATTAAAATTTAATTTGTTCACATAAACTTGATATCCAACCTGAACTCCTGGAATTATGGTGTAAGTCTCGGGATTTTGTTCTACTGGAACTATGTTATGTATTAAAAATGTTTTGTCAAATAAAGTCACTTGTCATTTGTCAATGTATTAAAAAAAAAAAAATTGAAATTACCCATAAATGTTGCCTCACTCCATATAAATAACAACAATAGACCAACTAAAAATAGAACAAACTGTATCATATGATAAACTATAGTTTTTATCAGCCATTATCAATATTCTGACTTGGTTAAATACAAAAATATAATTTTCTGTGTTTTCTGAAAGTGTATTTTTTTTTAAATTATCCAAATTGCTGATGCCTTCAGATTGTACCTAAATTAAAGTTGAACAGCCAAGTACTGTTGAGCAGCGTGTTAATCATCATCATGTATATATTATGTATTATTAAATAACATCATTATGTATTATTAAATAACATCGTTATGTATCAAATTATATATATTTTTATTAATACCTAATATTTTTAAATTATAATCACCATAAATTACAAAAAATATATATTACTTTTAATAAAACTAAATGAGTACATTTAGTAAATGATTTCAACTTGAATAAAACAAAACTTACAAATAAAATAATAGTTATACGAATAAGATAGGTATTAAAAATATTGTAAAGCATCAAAATTATCAACCAATTTTGGTTAAAAAAAGGACATTTTATTAATTAAATTATTAAGAAATAGTTGATGTTTTTCTAGTGTAACTAGAATTAGTTCAATTATATTATATATAAATAAGTCATAAAAGTTCAAACCACTGCATTGCATTAACAATTGGAATTTAATATAATATTCATGTGTAATTTTTAAAGTTAATTTTCCAGTTTTCTTATCCCATTCCAAGTATTTTACATTTATATTTTTATTAGAATCAACTATTGGTTTGTCTTTACATGATATTGGACATTTAATTTACAATACCTTTTCTGTACCACTTTTGTTCAAAATAAGTCAATTGGAACTTGCACATAGCCAAGGTCGCTTAATATCTACTATTCAACCACATATATTACTGCATCTTTATTGTATATCTGATTGAATGCTTCTAAAGCTATTGGTTCATTAATCATTTGACTGACCAATTGTGCTATTAAACACTTCAATAATTTTAAAAATTATGAACTTTCAAATCTAAAGGAAATATATATATCACAATAAAATAAAATATTAAATAATTTGCTAAAAAAATTACTACCTACACTATTTTCTAATAATTTAGAAAAAACGTTTTTTAAAATAGAAAAAAAAATATACATACATTTATATTATAGTTTTCCTTTTAAGGGGATTGGAAGTGGCGATTTTCTGTCTTTATCTAACACACGTGGAACATAGGATTATATACGTGTTCTATGTCCAACGTACCGATTAATCTAATGAAGCGATAAGAATTCTGAAAACAGATTTGAATTTGTCGTCAAGTCTACTTGAGATCGACTTTCCCACATTTTTGATATTGTCCCACCAAAATCATAAAAATGATATATTATAAAAAGTACTTAAAAAATTTACAAATTTCAACTTTTGGAGAAGTTTAAATCAAAAAATCAAAAATGTGGGAAAGTCGATCTCAAGTAGACTTGACGACAAATTCAAATCTGTTTTCAGAATTCTTATCGCTTCATTAGATTAATCGGTACGTTGGACATAGAACACGTCTATAATCCTATGTTCCACGTGTGTTAGATAAAGACAGAAAATCGCCGCTTCCAATCCCCTTAATATAAAATATTTATTATTTAATTATTTATTATATAATATAATATTTTGTCTCCAGGAAGAATTTCAGAGATTGCCCACTAGAGTGAGCTGTATTTCAAGTGTGCGGTCTCTATCTAGTAAAAAGAATACTTCGGGATTTTTATTTTCAAGGTTGTGTCGCGGTCGGTATTTCGGCAACGCCGAAATACCGGCCGCTACGTCTTTCGTGTCACCCGGACGACGCGCTATAGTCGGACGGCAGGTGAAGGGGACTCGGACGTCGGCAACGACACCCGACCTCGCCGCCGGCCGGGCGGACTGTCTTGTTCCGTCCGCGTGACTACCTACTACTACGATTGTAATTAAAGTAATATAAGTGCATAATAAAGTAAACTCGTGTGTTGTTCTTCTGAGTCACCTACATTATCCTTTACCACATCCGGTCAACCGTGTCAGTGGCACAGTCGGTTTTGGATTTTTGAATCTCGTGGCCCGTAAGGTAAGTCAATATTATATTAACCACAATACTTATCACGGGTGATCCCACGGGTACTCCACGTGTAGTAGCAATCATTTGTCTATGGACCACGTGGAAAGGCATGGTACTGGGTATGGGACAGGATAGTCTGACCAACAACACTAGCGTACAAAGGGGCATCAACCACCAACGGGTAGCCTCAACAAAACATAGTATAACGCATTTCGGTGATCTCGGGAAGCCCCAAAACCACGTGAGAAACGATACTGGGAGAAACCCATGGGCCGTTTGGAAAACACGTAGGGCACTTTCCGTGAACGCTGGGAATACCCGTATAGTTAATCGCGACAAACAGGTTTCGCATCGGCGGGGACGGGGCAGTCGACGACCGAACCGAACACCCGGATAACGATGTCGGGAAAACCCAGTCGACGAAACATGCGGGCAAAACCCACACACCGAGGAACAAGACCAACAACATTCGGCTTATCACGAACGTCGGGAAAACCCCTCCCGAACAGTGAATCAACGCTGAAGCAATGCGATTAAAGTCAAGGAACAACAACGACAACCGTACTGCAGCTGAAGATAGACAAGACCAAAGTACTACAACTCAACAGTCTATACAAGGTGGGTACGACTCGAAGCCAACGGCAACGAGACGCGCCCGGAACACCGAGAGGTTTATCCCCCCAGCGCACGCGGACGAAGGGTCAATCGGGTATCCCAACCGGTGACACTGCCACTCCAATGCTATGGTAAATAGGGGAGTAGGTAGGCACCATGTGTTACCGACGTTGGAGTCGTTAAGGCCGGTTAAACTGACAATCACGTCACACTGGCCGACCCAATCGAGGGCACAAGCGTAACCGACATTAGGAGTCAGTGAGTCTGGTTAAATTGACAAAAAGGTCACACCAGCAGATCCAATGGAGGGCGCAACATCAACCAACAGCGGAGTCGAATGACAATAACCAATGACGACCAAAAGTCATACCGTCACCGACCCCGTTGGAAGTAGGGAACCTGAACCAAAGTCACGAAGCGAGGGAAGGCAACGCCAAAAAATTCTAAAGAGCCAGTAAAAGACTGTAACACGAGGCAAAGTAGTGGACGGACCCATTAGGGGCTAAGTACGGCAACACCGGAAGAAAACCCCAGGTCCATACACCCGCAGGTGGAATGCAACGTGGAGATCACGAAAGGGTCCTCACACCGACCAAAATCGGACGGGAATCCCGGATCGAACAAAAGTGGCAGGGAAGTACAACACAGCCACCACCCACCAAAGCGTCAGGAAAAGGTCAACAAAGTATCAGCAGTACAAAGAGAGAGGGGAAACCAACATCTCACAGGACAACATGGACTTTACCAGCAAAGCGGGAAAACCAAAAAATCCAGTTCGGGAAATACCCGGTACCAAACAACACCGGGTTTTTCCAAAACACAACAACGGGTTTTTCCAATACCAACACATCACAAACGTCGGGAAAATCCCTCCCGAACAGTAGATGCCAAAAATCAATGCCAAGGCAAGAGTATCAAAGTCAATGGACAGCGAACAAGTCCAAAATACTACGGCCACGGCCTATACAAGGTGGAGGCGACGCGAAGCCAACGGCTTTTCTGATGCGCCATGAACACCGAGCTCACAAAGGTAAGAGGTACCTCCCCCACGCACGTGAAAAAAGGTTTAAAAGGGTATCCCAAACGGTGTAACTGCCGCTCCAATGCTATGATAAATAAGGGAGTAGGCAGGCACCATGTGTTACCGACACTGGAGTCGTCAAGACCGATTAAACTGACAATCACGTCACACTGGCTGACCCAATCGAAGGCACAAGTGAACCGACATTAGGAGTAAGTGAGTCTGGTTAAATTGACAATGACGTCACACCAGCAAGTCCAATGGAGGGCACAACCTCAACCAACAGCGAAGTCGAATGACAATAACCAATGACGACCAAAAGTCATACCGTCACCGACCCGTTGGAGACAAGGAACCCAAACCAAGTCACGAAGCAAGGGAAGAGAACACCAACTTCCTAAAGAGCAAGCAAAAGACGAAGACACGAGGCTAAGTAGTGGACGGACCCATAAGTGGTAAAGTACGGCAACGCCGGAAGATAACCCCAGGTCCAAACACACACGCGGTACGGGAAGTACCTAGTACCGAACGTTACCGCCAAACAACAAAAAAACGGTATGAACCAACATACGGGTTTTTCCAATTCCAACTCCGAAAATGACAGAAGATTCAAGAGGAAACAACCGAGCACGCCGTGCTGATTGGCGGGGGAGAGTGGCGCGACCGGCAACACGGTGACAGGTCACACCTAGCTTATCATCAGCACGACACGCCCGAACACACAGACATACGGCCGGGCCAAACCCAGAACCAGTCCTAGGGTTTTACCGACTCGGGGAAAATCACATCGAAAACATTCCGGATTTTTCCCCCTAACGAACACCACAGGGGAAAACCTACATACGAACAACACACACGAGATGGGAAAACCAACGATGTGACAATCGGGGAATTACCCACCATAACCAATACGTTTTTCCATATAACATGTTTGTGTTTACAGCAGAAAATCAAGATGGCCGAACGTAACCAGGGAACAAACGCGCCATCCAACCGCAACGGGGATTTTAACCTGTCAGTGGGAGACTACCGTCCCCACCGGGGGACCGTGGCAGATGTGGTCCAGCTGATCCTGGACCAGGCGGCACTAAATTTGCTGAACGCCCGCCGGCTCGCCGGGCGGTCCTCGGGTATCCCCACGTGGGAAAACCTCATGGCTGTGTGGCGGCGTCATGGGAGGACCCAGGCAAGGGCGGAGAGGGGCACCCAAACATCACCAACGACCACGCCCATAGCGGAGATCCCGACACCGTCCGTGCGGACTCCGGAGGCGACACCAGCTGACGGACGAGCACTGGCCAAGTGGGCCGTAGAGGCGACCCACCAAGAGCTGATGGCACATCCTCTGATTCAGATTGCCATGGACCGGGGAGTGGTGAGACCTCCGCCAGTAAGGCACCCGGAACCCCGACGACTGGCGAGGAAGACGCCGACTGTCGACACCGGCAACACCAGAGTCGTGAGGACGAAGGCCGACCTAAAGCAGAGCGGGACGCTACTCGAGGAACCAAAGGTGGCCGACCTGATTAATCTGGACACGGACGAGGAAGAGTTCCTCCAACTCCAGGTAGGCGCCCAGGAGCTGCCGGACGTAGACATGCTGTCGGAACTGCCGGCCAGCGACGACGACGGACTGTGAGTAGGGCGACGGTGTCGTGCGGGTTGGCGGGGGAGAGTGGCCGCTACGTCTTTCGTGTCACCCGCACGACGCGCTACAGTCGGACGGCAGGTGGAGGGGACTCGGACGTCGGCAACGACACCCGACCTCGCCGCCGGCCGGGCGGCGTATTACCAAACCCCATAGTGCCCTAGCGCCTTTTATAAATAACCCACACTCATTGGTTCATTTGAAAACCGCGCGTAAATATAATAAGAACTTTTATCAATTATTATAAAATATTATCATTTATTATTATCAACTATCATTTGAAAACCGCGCGTAAATATAATTCTATATGAATATTAATTATATTAAGAAAAATACTTATAATAGTATAATGAGTATAATATATATTATTGTATAGTACTATTTTATAGTAAATTGTATTGTAGTAGTAATATTTTTTAATAATTAATAATTAATACTTAATATAATATATAGTACTTCTTAATATAAGTCCCATAGGTAGAATAGAAAATTAAATTTTCATAATTTATTTATTATATCAAAATATTAAAATACTTTCATGTTCTTATATCTTTTATTACCTTTATTATTATACTTATTGTATATTGCCTATTTAACTACAGCTCAAAATATTATAACAATCATCATCAATTTTGTTTTTTATTTTTGTATGTACCTATATCATGTCTAATCATAATATGTTTTTTTTAACTTTTATAATTTATTTACTACAGCATACTTTTATTAAAATTATAAATAATGTTTATATTTGCAAAAAATGCAATATACCTATATAATAGAATATGAAATTACTTTTGAAATCTAAAAAGTGTAATTTTATGGAAGCATTTCATTCAATTACAAAATTAACATTAATATTCTTTAAAAGATTACCTCAGTAAACTGGCCACTGGGTGATGAATTTGTTTGTGTTATTGATGTTAACGAGTTAATTAATTTTATGAGTAATATAAATTATATATTATTGTGTATATATTATATTTGATTTAAAAATGTAATAACATAATAAATGTTTGGTTCTAGTAATATTTTTTAATAACTAATCATTAACACTAGGTACCCTATTAATAAGTCACAATAGGTAGAATAGAAAATTAAATTTTCATAATTTATTTATTTATTCTTTAAACATTATTTATAATGTGTCTATGAATAAAAGTGAAGCTAAGCAAACCAATGTTATACATCAATTTAGTGGTGCAGACTTTGACTATTACATGTTACAGTATGTAAGTTAATTATCATTGATGTAATTATGCGTTTACCTACTAAAATTACAACAGTATTTTGTAACACTTCTTACATCTTTTGTTTACAAATTACACACTTTATTCTTTAATCCAACACAAAATATACATACCAACTCTTTTCAGTCCCATTCAAATTATTTTTTATTGTTTAAATGACATACTACCGTCTGCTCAACTTTAATTTTACCATCTGAAAAACTGTTATTCACCATTAAATTTATTAATGTCAGTAGTCAACATGGTTAATAACATGGATCTATTTTACAATTAATTTTCAAACTGTGCAACATGTTTCCATTAAATATTTATATTCTGTTAAGTTATTTATGTTAATATTTTAAAGTTAAATAACCTATATAATATTTTTAATTTAACTTTTTTTTTTATTATATTAAATGCAATGATATTAAATACATCCATATCAAAATGGAAATCATCATGTATATATTTATTATTTTTATTATTGAACTTATTGCATACTACCAATTTAACTTCAGCTCAAAATATTTTAACAATTATCATTACTTCTGTGTTTTTAATATTGTATCTCATATCTAATCATATGTTTTTTAACTTTTATCGTTTAGTATAGCATACTATTATTAGAATTATAAATAATTTTTCTATTTGCATAAATGCATAATACAATTTGAAATTACTTTTGAAATCCGAACAGTGTAATTTTATAGAAGCATTTCATTAAACTTCAAAATGAACATTAATTCTTTAAAAGATTACCTCAGTAAACTGGGTGATGAATATGTGTGTGTTATTGATGTTAACGAGTCTTGTGTCGAATCACAAAAGTTTGTAATTAGAACTAATATTTATGATAGTAGTTCAGCCAAAAAGTTTTTAGATTT